ATCTGCCTCCCGATTCACAGCGCGTCGCGTGCACCAAGTGCATAATCAAGTTTAAACATCATACAGAAAACTTACCGCGAAAATATACCTGTTATAATTTTCGCTTCTTTAATATTCATGTCGCATGAAACCGTGATCTTAATTTACCCAGCGTGTAGAATTGAATAAAAATGAAAAAAAAAGAGATTGTATAGCTGACACACTCATTTGAGACAATTATTATAGAATCAGCGGAAAACACGCATATTACGCATTTAAAAAACCCTTTCAGTCACCTGAGGCATACAGTATGTCTAAAAAGTATGTAATTTCTTTTATAAAATTTGTTTAAATAAATCTAAAAAAGAATTACACGTATATATCACAGGTGAAAAGTTAATTTGTAAATCGGCTGATGTGATCGCAAAGTAACATTTTTATCTGTAGTATATGTGTAATTTTTTCAGATTTATTGAAATAAATTTAATAAAAAAAAACGCCAATCGCATTCTCTTTAAATATTCTGCATTTTGCGCTTGCAAGCTTACTTGCAGATCAATGTGGCTGTTTCGGCGCTTTTTTCGCATAAACAGCGTCCGATCGGTCGAGCGGTCGCGCGACGAGATGTTCGGAGACGCTCGGGATCCCATTTACGGTTTTATCACTTGAACGCTTTGCTATTGAGTGTCTTTGTGTACGCCCTATTGTACGCATATATACTAACATACAGCTATCGCAAACTGTCAGATTAATAAAATATCTATGCGTCTGCTGTACTCATTTTTCTTACAAGCGTTTGTTTTTTTTCCGTAATTGCGGTCGGAAATTGTTTGAGATTAATTCAGAGCTTAATGGATCGAAAAGCAAAGATAGCAAACTCAACTTTCAGTAAAAAATAAGCTAAACATATTGATACAATTTTATAATTGATTTTATTATGTTTAACTTATTTTTCGCGCTAATAGCAGAGCTTATCTTCTTTGTTGTTAAATTGTTATTCAATTAAGCTTTTTAACTCTTTTTTTTTCTCTTTTCTCTGCCTTTTTTTCACTCTCTCAAGATCTTTTCCGCTTGGTTACACTTTCTCTGCTGTGCATTTAAAATGAAATACATATATATTCCGGTTATGAATAAAGAGGAAAGGAAAAAAGAAAAGTATGAAAGGCGTGTAAAGGTGTAGAAAAATACAATAAGAATATAAAAGGAAAAGAATCGTTTGATATAACTTCAAAAGATTTATTAAAATAAAGTAGCCAAACATAATGTTTTTCATGCAGGCGGAATTCTTCAAAGCACAATTAAAAGTGCTAATTGAATTTGTTTAACTACTATGGCGGCGTTAATTCAATGTCTACAATGACTACCAAAAACTCTTAAATGTCTTTTATGTTAATGGAAAGCAACGTAAAATCATTACTTTCATCATTATATACTTATTGATATGAAGAAAAAATAATGAATGACATCGTAACAAACTAAAAGTCTGCAAAATGAAATTAGCTTTAGTGCCACCATGTTAGTTAAAAATTAAAATTAACGAAAAATATTTTTAAAAGACATTTTTTATTTTGCGTGATAAGTACGTATAAATCATTGTATATTGTAATAAAAAATAAATTAATTTAACATACTATTGCACGAAATATTGAGCGAAAATATCATTAACATAATATAATTAACTAAAACATTGTTCTGATGAATATTTCGCAGCTATATTTTTCTGAATTTTGAATTCAATACCACAAATGTAAATAGGTATTTAATTAATGTCAATATAATATCTATACATGTCAGGCAGCCATCTATTAAAGAGTAGCAATTTTTCCAGAACGGAAAAGAAAATTCGTATTTTAAAAGATATAATAAAATACACGAATACATTGCCAATCCGACATCTTTTCTGCGCAACGTTGATTTGCGAATAAATCAACGGTGAATCGGTTAGATATTACATATATTCCACAGTCATGTTAAGTTGTGACATCAAAATCGAATAAAACGTAGTCTGAATTTTGCTGAATAATACGTAGAACAACGATTTATGTGCGAAACGCTCATATGCTTATACGAATATGCTTTTATATATGTATATGTTCAATTTATATGCGACGACTTTTATGTCGCAAGAAAAACATGACACATGATATTTTATATTTGATATCATAATCCAATATGACTGTAGAAAAGAGAGAGGGAGCAGGGGAGGAAATGAGGGAGAAAGAGAGTATGAAAGGATTCCGTCGCGAGCAAATGAGCAAAATTACACCCGAGCTAATGATTTGCTGTCCCTTCCTAGATTATGTTCTTATTTATAACGTAAATAGGATTAGCTGGCGAACGATGATCAACCCTAATCATCATTAGTACAATCGGCCGATGAATGTCTATGATTGCACATCCGCTTGCGTGAGAGATACTTAAGCGGCAATCATTAACGTGTGTCATTTTAGATTAGGTTTGATACTCTCTCAGGAACAAACGCATGTAATGAGCTTACACATGTGCGCGTGCTGCCCTTAAGGTTCGTTTAGATGCAACGATTTTCAAAACGACGTCCTGTAGGAGCACCTCGTAACATTCTCTTAAGATTACACGACAGACAAGTTTGAGATTAATTGTAACAGGGAGGGGGAGTGGAGGAAAAAAAACAATTGGTTTCTTTCATAGTGTTACAAAAGCCGGCGAATGTTACAAAATACTAGCGATAACATTTAAATCATGTTCGTATGAGGTATTTCTTTGTTCCTGTTCATAGAACATGTTGCTAAAAAATGGCCGCCTCTATATTTAGACGTACTCTAAAAACCTCTCTAGTTGTATATGAGATTCTCGTAACAACTGTAAAACTTAAAATTCAATATTCATCGCAAATAGCGCTGACTTGTATACTCCGAATTCAGAACGTGAATGCGATTTTTCTTTAAGTAATATCGTATTGGGAATCGTTCTGTCTAAATGGGTCGTTATAGTCCGCCCGATTCGAATAACTGTTGCCCCGCACAGGGGCGCGACCCTCGATCAAAGGCAGTGAAGATCAACGAGAACATTTCGCACCCTCTTCTTTAAAAGTCCCCGCACACCATGGAGAATCATGTTTCCCGAATACCCATTGTAACGTCAAAATATTGAAATTTTTTTTTAAACATTTTAAAATATTCGAATTTTTACTAGAAAAATGTTACGTAAAATTTACAAAGACAATCACTCGGGCAAAAAATTCAAATGTTTCGAAGTTATAATAGAATATTTATCGGAGAAAATCATGATTTTTTGTGTCGGACTTTTTGAAGGCGAATGCGATTTACATTCGAACGAAGGCCGCGATACAGCTTGCGCGGGACGAATCTAATTTAACATTTGTCGCGCTATCTAACTACTCTTAACAACGGTAAATATGTTTCTGTTGGTATTCAATAACGCGATCTTGCTGGCAAGATAGCTATCAAATCTGCTAACAATTCGTATTGTATAGTCTTGATTGACGACAATCTCGAAATCCCTCTCGAATGGCGTTCATAAAAAAACAATTGAACAATGAAAATTGAACCACGTCTAAAAGACGTCCAAAAAGTATCTGAAAGATAATTTTTATCAAAATGCTTTTTAGACTTTCTATTATTCTTCAGATGTTTGCGTCGTTTAATTTCCTAAAGTCCAAAAGCAGTTTCAAAAATTTATTTTAGCAATTTTCTGGAACTATTTGTTTATATTTTACATTTGTAATAACTGCTACGGAAATAGCTCACGGTTGTATTACTAATTATTACTTTGAGATTCAATGAACAGTGCGCCGCAATTATATGCGGTTTGAATTGATGTTGCAATTTTCAGGAACCAATAACTCGCAACAGAGGAAATTGATGAAGCATTTAATCAACAGCTGTAATGATGAACAATTCATGAATCAAAGTAATTATTACTCGTTTATGAATGAACGTTCTAAATCACTGAATATTTTCTAAATTTATTTTGCGTGGCACATCTTGGGCAGATCTTGTTGATACACTCCTGATGAAGTTGATGAAGAGAGTATACTTTACGATGTCCTTGGATTAAAAATTAAAACAATAAAAAAATACAAATATATTTTATAGTGAACGCTGAGAGAGAGAGGTTTATAGATCGTTAACAGGGTTGCCGGAAATTTTAGTTCTTAGTCTGTCAGCATCATGTTTCGTGTCCGGCTTGAAATCAAAATTATTTGTTAACTCCGATTATATATTCGTACAGGAAACAGAACTTCTCAAAGTTTTTATAATGCAATTTTACCACTTTAAACTGATCTGATCCCTTGCGCTTAAATATACAGCTAAAATTCATCTGCCTCCATTTATCACGTCATACATTTATTCATTTTACGGTGTGGCAATGACATCGGACGTTCTAGACTAGTGATGAAAAGCCTTGGCAACCCTGACCAGTTGGCAAATCACATCAAAATGGCAAATCCGATTAGTTCCATACACATTTTGTGGCTATGCAATTATTGCAACGATAAAAATGCACTATATTTACGAATTTCTACCACACCTTAAATTGGACGCAGTTATGTAATGTCGGACCGATCGCGGTTTGCCGAACTTTTTTAGCGTACCTGCTGCTCTTAGCCTACTTTTGCAAAAAAAAATCTAACAAAAAAATTTAATATATAAATTTATATGTTAAAAGAGATTATGTCTTCATTACTTCTTTCGAAAAAAAGAGTATATTTATTTTCATTTTCAGCGTGATGTTAGAACATAAATAAATTTCGAAAATAATGACGATCAAAAAGCCGCTTTTCAAAGCTGATCCTGTATTACACAACTGTGTCGACAATTGTTAACTTACTTTTGCTCAAGTGCTTTTGCACTCTTCTCTCCTTTCTGTAAGATTTTGCGAAGTCTCCTCGCGAAAATTGATCCGACATCAAAGACTTCCACAACAAAGGAATATATCGTACAATAATATAATATGTGTATATAAAATTAGCGATGTCGTTCTCTGGCGAAAAGGAATTGCAATACAGTCCGCTACTAAAATACCATAGAAACCTGTATTCCTTAAAGGATTAAATAAATACACTATGTACGCATACGTACCCACAATTTGACCCAGTACATATGTATACTATCTATATTTCTTCACTTTTCTTCTTTCATTTCTTTGATATCAGCCAGATCCTCTTTATGAAGAGCATGGCATGACTAGAACGCACTTAATTTCTTTTTTTTTCTTTTTTCTTTGGATTATTATAAGGCAAACTCACTTTTTTCACACACTTCTCCTTCTCCATTGTCTCTTTCCTTTCTTCGTTTACTCTTTCCTTCGCTTGATTTTCTCTCTTCCCTTCGTTGGATGCACTCACAAGCACACTCACGCTCTCAGATATATCTACACATACATACACATATTATCCACACGCATTAAATAGATCACGCGATCATGTTCGTTGTTAACCACGCTCGTCTCAGGTTGGGAGCGAACTTATGTGAATTCTCAGCACAGTTAGAATTCGCGTTCTTTGCGAAATCGTACCGTTGCGATCCCGCTTCTATATCCTGTAAACAAAATCGGGGATTGCTTAAAAAAAGATATAATGGGAAGAGTTTGAGAAGTGTTTGGGGGGTTACGTTGCTAGAAGAAAACAGGGTTTAAATTAAGAAATAATAGGAATAATTAATTAGTTAATAAATATAATGATCGTTAAGTATGATGAATTGAGATACATTAGTGCGAGACAAGATTTTATCTCTTAAAAGACTGTGCAATATTAGAGTTGGCCGGTAATTGAATTACATTTGACACAAATGTTTGCAATAATTCTTTCTTCCCAAATTTTGAAGAATGTTACGTAAAATAATGATGTAAGAGTACGCGTCTTTGTGATATGCGTAATATTCACAAGTTAGCTTGAATGTAGGTCGGCCGCGCGAAATTGAACACAAAAAGCTGTCCGCCCGTCGGCGATCGTTCGCTATATTTAATCTTGGCTTGAGACATCTCCGCAATAAGTTCCCGAATACTTGGCCATATTATTCGTGTAATTAAATTCGTGTTTACAGCAGCGAAATAACGCTGTCGAGATAATATATGATAATACGGGGTTTTTTTTTTTTAATTCTCTATAAAGACATAGTATAGCAATCTCGACGCGAACCGCATGGTGATTGACACAGCTGGATCGTAATATGTTAAAAGAATTAGGAAGCTGTTATACTCACCGGGTAGAAGTTTCGTTGAGCACATGCCTTGGCGGACGCCAGAGCTTAAGATACGCGCAGTGGGTAGGCCGACGTAATGGCGTCGTGCGGGCCTTGATTTAAAAGCCCTGGATCACGCCGTAGGCCTCAAGGGTGGACATGATGAGGTAGAGTAACCAGAGGGAGAACAGGAACGCGGATGTGACGACCTTCGGTACAAAGGGCCCACCCAATTCGCCGCCGATCGATTTTATTCGCCTCACCAGCAATACTACGATCACTATACAAGCTTCGCTGCAGAATATGGTGACGGAGAAGGCTAAGCTGCATCATAAAATGTGTGATTTGGATGTAGTTAGGCACCAAACGTCGCGTTTGGGATTTTTGCACGGAGACGCAAGCGAGCAACCAGCTGTGAAATTGTGCACACCGAAGCTTACGATGACCATACGACTCTCCCACTTGCGTGCTTCGCAGCCATTTGAAACGAGTCGAACATCGTCGGCAGACAGAAATTCTTAAAACTCTTGAAAAACTCAACGCTCAGTTTGTTCAACCGTCAGCAACCATTTTTTCGCATGTTTTTTTATCATGCACTATTACCGCCAACAATCTTTTTTGCATTTGCGCGTTTAACAAACTTGCATTTGGCGGAAAAGCATAAAGATCCAGCTGAAGACATTTTCTTTCTATTTTCCTACCAAGTTCCTCGGAACTTCAAACTCGGCGATTTCACCGAGATTTTCTTCGAAGATGAATGGGAAAACTTGTACGACGCGACCGCAGATTCGTTCCCGGTCCCAAATCGGCGACGTCGAACTTAAACTTTCGTTGAAAGTCAATCGACAGATGGGCGCTTGCGAGACCGATCGCGGTTTACAATATCATCTGCACCTACATAATGGACTACATCTCGTAGAAGTATCTGTATGCAAGATGGATAGGATAATGTATCATTTTTAACAAGCTGTTGATCATTCTTTTGAGGGCCAAAAGTCGTTATAATGTAAGACGTATTATTAATGGGAAAAAAATCTTCCAAGCTAAATATAAAATTTAAAAAAAAAGGAAATAACTGCATATTCAGGAATTCGAGAAACATGAGAAAACCACCTGATGTGAGACTGGATACCATGCTCTATCTCGCGAGCAGCAACCCGTCGAAATCCTCGTAAAATGGAATACGGTATCAGCGCCGTAACATGGAAAATTGAGAACTCTGCGAAGCAGGAGCTTTCCAACAATTTCTACACAGAGCTATTTTCCGAAAATGCAAAGGAGAAAAATGTAAAAAAAAATTCGAAATATAAAGAAACGACAGATATTCGTTATTTCCACGCCAATACATGAATTTCGAAGCGTTATTGATCGGTTCGACATCACGTTGAATATATGTAGACAGATAAACGGCTGATCGGATATTTCCGGCGGGTAATAATTATATAGCGAGAAATAATCGCGTTAGGATCGCGGCAAGGACGTTAAGCGAGTTGTTGTCAGAACGCTTTAGCTAAATTTCTTAAAAATAATTTTGTGAATAAGAAATGACAGCTGGTTATCGAGATTACGTCATCGCGTACTTGACTTATCTTAACATTATCTTGTTTTCCGTGCCTTATCTGATCCCATTCAATGCTAAATTGATTATATATTAAAAATGCGCCCATGAATTGTGACTGTTGCGAATAACTAAAAATAATTTTGGTTACTAACTTCATTAACTTTAAACTCTCCGTACATTTGCATATACAATTCTTGCATAAAATAATGAAGTAATTAGCCAGGGACAATGTTTGACTAATAAAAAAGGCACGTGTTCCAATTTCAATATTAAGGGTAAACTACTTATTTTTCTGAAATGACTATTTTATTATCTATCGAACAAGTGTTTTACGACGAAAAGTTTGATCGTTATAGTAGCATTTCGGAAGCCGTCGTCTTCCGAATTTACTTAAATTTGATGTATATTAGAACGAAGTATCACGATTTATGAGGGCACTTTTACGATACTTTTATGACTTTGGACATTAATCCGTAATTATTTTCGCTACTTACTTGCCGGGTTCGACGAGGAACGGTTCGCTGTGGCAGGCACGGTAAATGGCGGCGATACTCCACGCGACGCCGATCCCCAGGAAGACGTTTACCGCGTTACTTCCAGTCACATTGCCCACGCTCGCATCGGCATACTTGTCCTGGCAAGCGGCCACCTTGCTCGCGAATGTATCTGAAATAAATCCGTGCGTGTTCTGGGTCTTTGTCATTTCCATCAACAAATGCAATAGCACCCGCAGAAATTACACGTGTATTAACACTTTATTCGCCGCATTGCGCGAAATTACATTTTATACTAATTCCGAGTATATGCAACGAGATAAGTTCACAGGACGTGTTCCGGCGGAAATCAGAGATCGCTAGTCGCACAAGCTCGTCGCTGCAGAACGATTTGCAGTAGTGCTTCTACACTAGCCGAATACACGTTTGTACCAGTTTGCAGTTTATGGCGGAGCAAGTTCGGTTACAGAGTTGAGCGCAAGGTAAACGCGATGATAAAGAAAATCTCGCGGTGGAGAACAGAAATCCGTGAGACGTGATGTAATCACGCGACACAACGTGTGGTCGGAAATTTCAAATTGTATAAAACAAACGCGACATTTTTGCAAAATTACATTTCGGGATACATATGAAAATTGCCTCGAGTCACAACGCTTGAAAAAATCATTGCTCGAAATGTCGCTCGGGAAAAGATTTTATTAATTTAAATCGTCCAGACAAGTGCACTTTTCACAGAAATTATTTGCGACGCGAAAAACCGCGCGTGGTCGATAAGATTTCTTCCATTTTTCATGAATTTCTCTCGTTTTCTTTCCACCTGACGGTGCACCGATGCTGCACTTTCGATATTAATTAATCAATCGAGCTAGTCAGATGTTTACGTCAGTTGTTTGAATTCCCATCGTTGTATATCCTTAATATTTAATGGTTATCGCAGCAATAACATTGAACAATTGTCCACCATTTACGACAGTTAATTCCGCATAGAACAGTAATTAATTATTTTGACGATTGCCACGGTAATTAATTAGTAAAGTAATCACCATCAAAGCAGTTATTAATCGTCAATCGTAAATGAAACTTGTGAATCGCGATTGCAATGATCGAACGATTAAAATACAAAAAAATATTTTTTTACTGCGATAGAGCACTAGCGATGCTATATTGTATTTAATATTGCGCGAAATTCTTCAACACCCTGTACAATTCCTAGCGTCGCCGTGGTTTCTTTGTTGATACAAAGAAGATCGCCAAACCGATTTTGCCAAGAGGTCCTTTGGGACATCGGAGGTATCCTCCGACATAAATATTGATGAGGTCCTGAGAGAAGGAAGTTTCTTACGGAGTTCTGAGTGAAGAAGAAAGACAGAGTATACGGTAGGGAGCAACGGTGGCTTAAGTAATCCGGCCAAGAAGCCATACGTTATGCAAATTTCATCGATATTCGGATGTAGTGGTGCCGACACAGATACAATTTTGCGTACTCTTTTATGCGATATTGCAAAGCTGCGAATAAGATAAGAATTATAATATCAGCACATGATAAAAGACATATAAAAAAGCAAGTTAATATCGTATAAAATGGTAGTTATTTTTGCTCGAAAATCAATCAGTTTTATCCGATAATGATATTTTCCAGCATGTAGTTGCAAGAAATGTTTCAAATGAAAATTACAAAGTAACATTCTTAAAAAATACGTTTTCATTAAATAAAGTGAAAACTTAAGCTCTACATGTATTGCATATTTTATTCGTAAAGTGTAAACTTACGAGAAGAAAAAATGCTGGGATATACTTTAAATATTAAAAGTGTTATAATTTAAGATATTTGTTTATTAGTTTGTGACGCTTGAGTAGCTGCATCCAGAGTGCGTTAAAATTTGATGGAATTTTATATCTGAGATAATCAATTTCACGCAAGGCAGTCGCTGTTTTTGATGCAAATTTTGGATGTAACCTATTGACCCAGAAGCTTGAAATGGCGCGGTTGTCGTTACGCTTTTAATAGCTTTTGATAACGCCCACTCAAGTGATTTATTAAATGCCCTTGTCGTGGATTTCATACGAAAATAGCGAAACACGCAGAAGACGAGGTCGCAATCTGTTGGGGATTCCAATACGATTTGAAATTGATTTCTCCAAATATATTTGCATTTTGTGTCAATCATTTTGCAATTGTCGGCCGGCGAAGTAAAATCGCTTCTCAAATAATTCGGGGATATAGAAGACAAGATATGTTTAATCCGAGTTTATAGTTGCATATGTCAAATGGGTTCCACCCGGTGTGCGAAAGGACGTGGGCCGTCGGCAGCCATTGTTCCTCGACACAAAGACCAACTGCAATAAATTATCACTGCTCTGCTGTAATCCCAAAATCCTGTCGCAATATGGTGGACGCCATAAGTGGAATGCCAGCAATGCGAAATGCGAAGGTGAACTAACGGCATGTTAATACCATCGCGCGTCTCTCACATTACCCTCTCTCGCGATACATTATTCATTTTCGTAATTTTAGACACATAAAATCTCCTAATTTAGAAAATTTTCCATATATAGTGCAAAGTATGCTAATAAATTACCCATTAAACAACTGCAGCAAAATTATACAAATAGATATCTCGACAATGTTCTTCATAATAGCAAGAACTGTAATAAACTATCGCGAAACCGCTTGCTACTTTCACGAAAATAACGCGTCCGCTTGACTATAGTTCGCGTGTACATTTACCGACGATGAATATATCGCAGGCAACAGAAATAAACGCCAAAACAAACACATGATGAAGTGCGGATGCCTGCACTTTAATAATTTTAGTGTGAGTACCGAAACTCGTTGTGCGAATCACACACGGTGAGGAATTTCTGAAAGTCATTCAACTTTCCTGCGAGATAAATAACCGTTTTGGAACGACGGCAACTACTTCTATTAAGGTTTTACGAGTTGCAACGTGACGACATTCATTGCTCCATGGAGAAATTCATAATGAAAGACTATTTGTCACAGATAGAGAAGCACTTTAACAACTACTTTTATCCGCAAAACAAAGCAACCCTTTAAAATAACGAACCGAAAATTTCCGTGACTATAATACTATTCAGGCAAAATGATTCTTTTTATTATTTGAAATAATATCTTATTTTTATTTCACAAGAGATCTCAATAAACCTTAAAATATAAAAAAGTACCATTATCTGTCATAGTTTCCGAGACAACGTAACAGCTTCGGGTGGGTCGTTTTATAGAAATTTGCATTTTATTTGACACTTACCGGGGATGCTAGTGCCGAGAGAGACGAAAACCACCGCGGTGACAGAATCCTTGATGCCTAAGGTGCAACCAAAGTACGAAGCGACATCGCCGATTACCGCCGTCACGACACCAATTCCTAAGATACTGGTGATGAAGCACAGATAACCGCTGGCGATATCTGAAATTAAACAAAATGGCGCTTTTTTATTTGTTAATATTCTCGCAAATTATATTACAAACTTTTTAAACGCATAGAAACGAAATATTTAAAAAATTGTGAACCATTATTTAGAATTGGCAGTGAGTTTTTTAGATGTTATTTATTGTATTCAGAATTTTAGAGAATCGCGTGAATGATTAAATAATATAAATATGATATGCGCATATTGTATAAAAATGAAAAGAATATAAAACAAATATCGTCGTATAAAAAATTGAAATAATAATTTTGATGAATATTAAAATCTACTTTGATGAAAATAAATTCAGTGACATTTTTAGAGCTCAATAAAAATACTTTTAAAATGCTTTCAAAGGGCTTTGATCACTTAACATGATACTTCTGTGTAATTAAGTTAAACTGTGTAAATTATAAAATGTGCTGATGCTCTTTATTTGCATAACACGCAAACACATACTAGCAGACGCCCACACGTTTCAGGGCTTAATTAAGTCCGCTATTTTTCCTTGTCTGTGTTTTCTCTCGAGAATAATTACACTACTTCAGCTTAACTGGCCTGGCTTTTTCAAATCGTGAAGAACGTAACATTAGATGTGCTATAATTCTACTTTAATCGGCTCTTTCCGGTTTTAAAATCTCCATAATTACTTATTCCAAGTGAGGCTATTTAATGATGTGAAAATTTACCCTAAATTTTTTTAAACGCGATATTCTATAAAATTTTAAATATAATCAATAATCTCTAAAAAGAACTCGTTACAAATTCTACATAATTATTAAAAATTTTGATAACTATTAAAATTAATGTCCAACAAAATTCGGTATTAATATAAGATAGTAGATCAATTTCGTTTTTATGAAGAATCGAACTTGGATTTATAGCGTTATTTCTTCTCTGATGACAAGAGGAAATTATTATTAGAGATCTTTATAGGTAGGCACGTCTACGGTGGACGCGCACGCGGACATAAATATAGCTAAAGAGTCTGTAAACACGCGGTTAGTTTTACTGTTAACACGTGGCCAATGTATATTATCGCAGCACGCTTGCCGTACTTTCCTGCTAAACTCAACTGATTTATTAACGTGTTTCGTGGTCTTTTTCAAGCGACTCGCTTTTACTGATTACATTATGTAATTATCGGAAAATCAGCAAGCTCGGAAACTCTCTTGAGGCCGAGTAAGCTAGTGCTGACCCCGTTAAGTTAACATCTAAAAATATTCGAATAAATATATCTGATTATTATATTTAATAATTTATATTATTTGCAATAAAATATTATCATCTAGATTCTAGAACATGAAACAAGGTTTCTTGGGGAGAAAAAGCATTTACTAATTGACTTATACTACTGAAGCAAATTTATCGTTCACTTTAACAAATCTATCAGTTTCTAAATGCTTGTTGAAAAAAACTTGTTTAGTGTCTAAAACCCACGCTACAGAAACAGAACGACTATTGCCGTAAATCCTACGAACGAAAATTACTTTGGAAAAGAGTATACGGGCACAGGTCGTCGTAAATCACGTGGAAATTTCGTGGAAAAGCAGAGAACGTTGCTATGTGCATCCATGTGTATGTGCCTGCATTTACCTGTGTGCATATACAGAGTGCCCTAGACCAACCGTATCACCCGTTAATAGTACATTTCTGAGGTCATTTGGAAACGAAAATCTTTATACTAAAATCAAATTGTTAAAAATTCACGCACTCGGGCGCATATTAATTTTTATATTCTTACCATGTAAGAAATTTCAGAAATCTGCTATTAACGGATGATACAGTTAGTCTGAGACACCTTGTATATTGTACATTATTTTTCATTGTACATTGTTTTTCTCTTAATACTAAAATGAAACAAATTGACTGGCATGATGTGCGGCAGCAAAGTTTATCTGTATAAAGTACATCCAAATTATAGCATTGCGTTAAAATAATTATCACGTATATTAAACTTTTACTGATCTTTCTTCTTTTATGCAAATATCTAATAAAAGAATCTTAAAAATTGTAAAAATCTTTTACCGAACATTTTAAAGTTTCTATGTGCATTACGTTACATAATATTTTACGTGTAATATTTTACAAATAACAGATAACAAGTCAATGATTATTTACGCTAAAAGTTGCTCCGCCAGCGCTGATGTTTTTCCTCAGTCTCCTCTCTCAGTTTTCCTTGCAGTCCTTGAAGGCACTTACACGCGATCGTGACGCGAATGCGAAAATCGCACGATGTTTTAAGCGGCACTCCCGACGCGTATTTTGTCATTTGGACAAAATAAAATACGAATATTATCGCACGGATTATACGTACTGCGTTATTCGATACTACCGTGTCCGTAACAAGTAATGACGAAAAGGATAAAACCGAAACTACGGAAAATAATAAGGATAGTATTATTGGAAAGAATACTCGCCGATATGGACCGATTTGCTTTATACGAGGTGCCGTCGCGAACGATAAAGATACAATAAACATATCAAGGATAAAATCATCCCAATTTGAGAGAATGTGGGGAGTAAGATGTGTGTAACAATGTGCGTCCCGATACATAACGTAAGAGAGTGAGGAACAGAGGAGGACAGGATATTGATCACGCAGGCTAAGGGTGACGAAACAACCCTAAACACTCACAAGTCGGCCTCGAAATTCTCAACATTAGAGCATTTATAAAACATTTATCAATTTAATCTCGATTTTAACTCCATTTTGATAAATGTTTGATAAATATCCTAAGTTAAAAGTTTTCGTAGGCCGACTCGCAGCGTTTGGTTGTTTTCGTCGCTCTTAGTCCGTGTGATCCATATCCCCTCTTTCTCTCTCTCTCTCTCTTGCGCTATGTATTGACGCGCACGCTACTTCCCGCATTCTCCCAATCGGAATTTTTCCTTGAAATATTTATTGCACCTTTATCGTTCACACGGCGGCACTTCATAAAAAGAAAATCGTTCCGTATCGACACGTTATCCTTTCCAACAGTACTATCTTTATTATTTTCCGTTTTTGATTTCACTCCGTCGTTACTTGTTACGGACGCGGCAGTGTCGAATAACGCAGCACGTATAATCCGTGCGATAATATTCGAATTTTATTTTCTCCGAATGACAAAATACGTGTCGGGAATGTCGTTTAAAACGTCGTTCGATTTTGTATTCCCGTCGCGAACGCGTATAAGTGCCTTGAAGAACTATAAGGTGGACTGAGAGCAGAAAGAGAATCAGGAAGAGGATCGGGCGTCGGCGGAGCAACTTTAAAGTAAGTATTCGTTGATTTATTTTCTGTTATTTGTAAAATATTACATGTACAATTGTGTAATGTAACGCACATTGAAACTTTGAAATATTGCAGTAAAATACGAGTTAAAATTTGCAATTTTTAATATTTATGGTTATTAAATATAAATATATGTAATTCTTTTATTAAATATTTGTCATTCAAAATTGAATTCTCATCTTAGAATTTTATTGACTTTTCTAATAAAATGGTTCAACTCAAACAATTACATCTCAGGAAACGATGTGTTCATGAATCTTGCAACAATGTCTCGCCTCGCAATATCGTAACATGTTGCAATTGCATAATCTGCAGTTGTGTAATTCTTAAAACTTGAGTGATTTGAAAATTTAATTGCAAAACATGAAATGCAATATTTATTTTAAATTTAAGTAGCAATAATATAAAACTAAAGAGCATCTGTCGTCAAGGAATCTTTTAATTCGCTCTCTATTTTATTTTATTTATTCTACGTTTAAATTCCTGTTATCTCCAAAGTCATTCTTTTGGTCCTGTTTGAAGAATCGTCTGTCTAGAACGTCTATCTATTATATTCTATTCTAGTTCTTGATGTTTTTATCTATATTGAAAAAGTTTAGAATTCTTCTATCATTTTTGCAACTTCCGGCTGTCCAAACTTCCTCCTTCGCGAAGGATAGGAGAAACGGTAGAGAGTAAATGCAGTTTTGCATCTTGTAACGAAGCGTTGATTTATAAGGACGGCGAGAGGTGAAAGAAGAAACGAAGGGAAGGATAAACAGGGTGAAACTACGTTGCTCGATACAGTAGTTTCCAGAGCTTTTGCCAGTTCAGCAGGCTTTCGCAATTGTGCTTGCTGAAATAAAACACACCCTTCCTTCACTTCTTCGTCTCTCTCGTACCGTCTTTCTTCGTTTTCTTCCACCCGATGGAAGCAGCGCCATGACTAAAGGGTGAGAAAAACTCTTATGTACCTCAAAAAAAAAAAATGAAAAAGTCAAAAAAGTATTGAAAGGAACTCCGAAGCGAAAAAGCGCGGAGAGAATCCAAGAAATAATATGATGAAAACAATAAAAACTTCTTTCTTGATGTTCGTCAAAAATTATAATAATATTACTTATTCTTAAAGTTAACAAATTTATATTTTTTACATTATATTTTTCTTTTTTGTTTTTTTAAATAAAACTATTAAAATAGAGTATTGAAAAACGTAGACTGGCTCAAAAAAATATTACACTTTTTGAAAGATATTGCATTACATAAAATAATTCACAATTGAATCTTTATAAACGCATATATTAATGAAAATAGGCACGAAAGATCATGGCGCTGCTTCCCACTTTGCAGATTGCACCATCATAAACGCCAGTAACACGGTTCGATCAAAATTCACTTTACCTTCCATCGCGTCAAAGCCGATTGCAATTTCGTGTCTGTCGACGTCGTTTTCACGTAAGATTGCGACCGCTATTCGCATTTGCTTGCGAATTATTACCTCGAGGGCGTGCTAAAAACACCTTTCGCATCGTACGGCGTTTATCGACTTTGTGAAACTGTTCAGCGATAGCAAATACATCTTTCCATTGAAATTTTGCCGTGAGGCATCATTTTCTTTCTTTTTATACAATATATATATAATGTATAAAATATTATATATATAAAATTTGAATATAATTAATTCTCTGAAAATTCGCTTTAATAAATAATATAATAAAATGCACACACATATGTTTCAAGCAATTCAAGAATGTAATCTTGAAAATATAATTTTAGTTTTCAAAATTGGGCAGTGATATGTTAATTAATGATAACAGAAAAAAGTTGCTCACCAGTAGGTGGGACGAAAGCAAAGAGAACCTTCCAGAAGATGGTGAGCGAATGCATAAGATAATCCATCGCTGATGGTGAAGAAGGTCGACCACCTTCTTCGTCCTCATCGCCTCCGCTAACGGTCAGCGCGTCCGTAAATTGTTCCTTCCAAGAGCTTGTGCCTGAAAATGATATTCCAAAATTTATAAAGCGGAAAAAAAGAGAAAGAAAGATAAGATTATGCGATTTATGATCTCTGGATAAATTATTAAATTTGAGTTGAAACTTTTGTACTGATATCTAATTTTTATTTTTTATTTTTCATACTGTGTGTATGAATTTACTCTGTTTGTTATTATTATGCACAGACAAACAAAAGAAATCAGTTTGTTTTCTTGATAACGACTCACCGAATATACCGAATATATTTAGCACGAGGGTGTTGGTATGAACTAGCTCGGTATGCACACTCCAAGGTACTTCAGCATATCAAACAAGTGAATGAAGCACTTTGTCGAGGGGCGAAAGTCGAAAAACGCTTTGAGCGATTCCGCTTTACGAGGCGAGCAGAGGTAAATGCAGAAGGGAAAACCGAACAAAGAAAAGCACGCTATAATAGAGCAATGTTATACCTTCTGCAGTGATCGGCTCCATTTCCACGTACATACGAATACAAGCGTGCAGATACAATGAAACGTTCTCATCGCGTTTGATTTTTCTTGTACAGCATCAGTATTAAAATATTGATCTCAATATGATGCGCATAAATTATATTTATAATAGGAATATTTTAAATATGCACTTCTGGCGCGTACACTAAATATTTTATGAATTACGTGCTTTATGGTATATTTTCGTATTATCGCACTTGAATAATAATTATTTATTTATAATAATTTTGCTGGCATTTATTCATGATGCTAATAATAGGAGATAATGAAAAAAGCATTGGAAGAGAAACGAATGCAAGGAATTTTCTTTCATGTCAGAAAGATGCAAAACTAAAAAATGTTAAAAAGATTCTCGCATAAAAGTCGTTGTTTTCTGCAAGGTCGATTTCTCGAACGGAACTTCTCTTTCAAAGAGAAGCTTTTCGGAGGCGCTTCCGAAGAACGAAAAGCATGTAGAACGGCCGTGAGGAAAAGGAGCCTTGCCTCGCCTGCAAGTAGGAAACGAACAAAGCAGGCTCCTTGCCGTAACTGATATCTTTAGACAGCTTCGTGCTTTCTACTGTCTTCTGTAGGAAGTCGATATGTTCGGGATCGATATTGAAAGCGAATCCGGCACAATGTGACATTTTCGAAGCTTCTATTGGAAATTTACGGTATTTGCAGTAGTAATAGTGCAATTTCCGAAAGATTTTATTTTACATTTTACGCTGCTTTATTTTATTTCACGTTGACACTTATTTTATATATTTTAAAAATTCGCAGAATAGAAAGAAATATAGAAAATGTTATATATGATGGAAACGGCTGCATAGCAAGTACCACAGAAGAATGCACCGTGGATGCACGAAATGCAGAAACGTGAGAATCATGCATATGGCGTCCGGGGAGTCTTGAATTTCACGAGTCTCTACGTAACGTTGCATTCCTCAGGGTTGCATTTCTGAAGAGTCCCAATCTAGATATTCGCGATGTACGTTTCGCCTTTCATGGGAGAAGTTTGGTTGGTTGAGTTAGGCACTTGCCGATAATAAATTTAAAACAATTGGTGAAGAAAAATCCTCCCGCAATAAAACAGAGATTTCGCTATGTTCTATACAATATACTTTCGTTTTTTTTTCAACGAGAAATAAGAATTAAAAACATTCTTTTTTTTAGTATGAAAACATTGTGATAAGTAAAATCTCTCATAGAAGAGTTTCATTGTTTGAAAGTGAAGTGATTACAATTCCAAGCTAATTTTCCGAAGAAACTTTGAACTCTCCTATAAAAAAAGTTACATCTGTTAGAATGTCTTACCTTATAGCACATTTTACTTTCATTAAAAGATAGCATTGTCTTTACATTAGGCTACAGAAGTGGCTATACCCAGTCTATATACATGGAGCAGATATGTCTAGCAAAAGTCTTTCTATATAACTTGTTCAAAGAAAAGATTTAAGTTAAGAACTCACCGAGTATTATGGAGGCATTTGCCCGCTGGACGAGCTTATCCACAGTGTTCTTGAACTCCTTGGACTCTTTGATCCTGATCTGAGCTCGGGTTACCTCACCCAGCCGCGGTCTGCCCAATAACGCCATTTTCTCTTCTTCTGTTCTCTCCTCCGGTTGTTTCATCTCCGCCGCTGCCGCGATTCCTGCCTCCGCTGAAACCAGAAAATCGCGTTTTGCTACTAAAATAGGGTTGGAATATGTTTTGTAGCGAAGTAGAGAGTCGGCTCGTAGTCAAACAGAAAGATCAAATCGATGTTTATTATTTTTAAATGATTCCCGCAATGAATCAATGATAATTATGTATATATCGTTGAAAATTTCTTTATTAAGCATTTCAAAATGTCAAGTGCTTTACATTGAATCGATTTTTAATGCCAAACTTCTTAATTAGAATTTTTTAATATTTTTTTTTTATTTGCTAAATAATAAAATAAAGATTTACAGATGAAAAAAACAGTGTGATAAACAAAGCAAGCATATTTGACATTAAAATCAATCATTATTTTTTATTTTATTTAATTGATTTAATTGATTCAGTTCAATATATAATTATAAATTAAACTTTGACTCAATATTTGTAAATTTTTCAACATGGAGATTATGCCATAATATCAAAATTTATAATATCTATTCAGGAGATTAAAGAGAAGCTCGTGAAAATTTATCGTGTAAATCGAAAACATTAGTGGACACATGTGATTGATTGATTGTTATCTCCGTACATATGAATCCGCTTAAGTAGGTCTTAAATGTGACAGAGAGTTTCCATTCTCGCATGGACGTGGCTTTGCTATCGATCTCATGAATTATAGTTGTACAACTCTCTTAGGCTAATTCCGTGCTCAGTACACATGTCTGACCACACGCCGACTCGCACTACTTGCACTGACGCTTTCTTACTAGCGCACAGTACAAAGTTAATAGCGCACAGTAGTAGGTGAACAAAAATACCATATGTGATTATGTAGAAATATATAGCTACGATATTTAATTTTGTTTATATTAATTCTATTCATTGTTATGCAGTTATTGCGTAATTTCGGCAAGAAAAAAGGTTAATTTTGAGCAACATCATCTAATATGCATAATCATCTAAAGAATTATTAACACGTAAAGCATCATATATTAAATGTTCGAACGCCATATATTAAGAAGAGATATTTCAACTATGTATTACAGCGAATTTATGCATAAAGTAAATCTGCAGCACTGCCAATGCATAAATAATACCCAGCTCCCACATTTATCTCTGCCATCGAGAGATGATCGATATTACGCGTGGACAGGTATTTTGACGAACGACGCACTCATTGTTGGTGTCACTCGTCCGTGACCATAATCGTATTTTATCGCAAAAAAAAATAAAGAACGGAATAAATTCGAGTGTGGGTCGTCTGACGACATATCGAAATAAAAAACTGCAAGGAGATAGAAATAGAGAAAAGGAGAATATTGTCATAATTTTCAAGGATTTTGAAAAATAAAATATATAGCAAAGCTTTGAAACGATCAATATTTCTCGAATATAAAACTTTATGTATAAAAAATTTATTTTACATGTTTCCACTTTTTATTCGATATATCTGTTCGAACAATCACTCACAAAAGTGATCAATAAATAAACATTTACTTTTTTTATTGATGCTTGAATAAAAGAATTGAAGCGTTTAGCGAGAAGAGTCGTTTCCTGAGACGGCGAGTTTTGCCTTAAACATTTTCTAGCGAAATATCTTTTGTCGAAAATGCTTTATGGAGCTGGAAAGCGAGAAAATTTTCCGTCTTTTCCTTCTCGAGATAATTCCCGGTATTTTCCTGCTGTATTGAAGACGATATTGGATTTCCTGTATAGCCTGTGACTTGTGACTTACTCCGTGCCGGATCTGTCGCCTCGCAATTCCTATCCTCGTTCACCTCAAAACCTTGTATATAGGATTACACACGTCACGAATTTCGCGCCCCTGCATTCTGGATAAATCTCCGATAAACAAACGGATCACAAGCGTCGCTTCCCCACCGACCCATTATGCCATTAAGAGAAATGGCTTTTATGACATTGAATGAAAGTAATTTAAATACAAATTGAAATCCTGAGTTAAATATCGAATTTAATTTATTGGTTTTATTATCGGAAACGCGCTTTTCCGATAATACGCTACGCTAAATTTGTATGCAAATCCGAAAATGTACAATATTATGTTTAAAAAAATTTTTTGTCGAGATTTCACAAGATTATGACGTCACTTTTCAGCCGCTTCTACGTCGAATTCTTATCCCCGAAAACATCCCTTCGTGGGCAGATATAAATTTGTTTACTTTGGCTTTCATCGTGTTCTCGCGTTACCGTCTAAAAGCTTCTTATCCCTTAGAAAGCTTATATCTTGACTGAAGCTTAGTGAGTTGGCTTTCCACACTGGCGAATTCAATTTCGCTCGATTTTTCTTCAATTTAGAATCGATGCGTCCTCCATTATTTCTATAATATCTTTATGTATGCATTTTGCTGAATATTGAGTGTTTTATAATTATTTAAAAAAAAGGTTTGACAATTTTCTAGGCAGGTTTCGAATAAAAAAATATTACAAAACAATTATGAAATATATAAAACATTTCGTTTCGATGTAGATGCAACTCTATACAGACAATAAATAATACATGTTATAAAAATTGCGAATTACTTCGTAATATTTCTTTATTCTATTCGGAATATCTGTTCAGCTCTATATATGCATATGTACAGAGTGGCAGGTAATTTAGTAAAATCCACTCTATAAAGTCACATTGGAAGCAAAGCTTTATCGAGCTCAGAGCCCATTAAAAGACGCATTTGAACGAAAGAAATGAGAATACGATTTATCCGCAGAGGGAAAGGGCGAAAGAGATTAGTAATGGCGAGCCGTTTCTGACCCAGACGGGAATAAAATCGATAAACGATCGGCCGATAAACGCCAGATGCAAGCAAGGCGCGATTCATCGCCTTTGAAATTCGTCTTTCATCGGAAAAGCCGGCGGGTATAATCTCATGGGAAAATTCGTCCCGGAAGTTACCTCGCATTTTGCTAACTTTCCAGTGCTTTTCCCGACATCGTTGCGCTTTCCTCAGCTGAATACAACGGAGCGATATAGTGCACTCTAAGCAGATTACATCTTGCTATTTAACAAAATAATCTCAAAGTAAAAGAAAAGACGGGATATTCGCGCATAACAGACAAAAATAGCCCCTTCTGTATCGGGAACGTTTTGCAACCGGAAAATGTCTAACCGCAACAGAAGTGAAACATGGTGATCGAATACGGCCACTGATAACTGATACAGCTCCGGCTTTTCCATTCCGGAATACTTTAAACTCGATTGGTGCCGGGGAGTCAGGAATAAATGGCGGCCAAAAAGCGCCTCTTTTCTCGGGGTGGTTTTAACTTACGGATGGTGGTGGAATTTTTACGAGCACTCCTCGATCAAGGTGTCGAGATTATTGGCAAATATAAGGAATGAACGCATGAATTCGCAGCGGAAAGGGGAAACTAAATCAATGTAAATGCGGCAGGTGCATCAATCGATTTTCAGAAAATTTTCGGAATCAACTCGTCAGAATACTATTTGATTTGAGAGAATTCGACTTTTTCATAGTTAGCGAGAAAATTGTGCGATATTAAACTATTATAGTTTTTTAAAATAAAAAATTGTGCTGTTTTATAAATAAAGCATAGCATTAAATATTTTATAAATTGTACGTTTAATGAAAATTGAAATAAATTTAGTGCATATGAGGAACTTTGGTATATTTGATACGTTGTGAAACAAAATGTATTATATTAAATAATAAACGTTCCGGCACTATCTTCCATCACTATATCGAGACTCGAAGCAAGGCTCGAAGAGCCGGTAATCTTAACCGAGTGGCTCAACACATATATAGGTTGATGTAACGGTTGAAATTACTCCTGCTACTGCCAGCAAGAGTAAAGTGGAACGGCCGAGGGATGGATGGGGTTGGGAATGGAAGTGGTTAATGCGAGAGTGGACTTATCATGGATCACTCGGACGGTTGCTGCAACCGGGAAGATGAAAATTAGTTCAAGGTGGAAATTAGGGAAGTTGGGGAAAGTAACAATTTTGCCAGTTTAATAACGAATTATCGGTTATTCAGTATTTCTGAAATACCTAATAGAATCCATTAACGAAATGCAGAATTAACTTTGAACATATAAGCGATCTCAAATTGTATCTCTAAAAATTACTCTGCTTTTACCGCTCGCTTAAGATAGAACTTCTATCCAAACGTAGTTTGTACTTCGTTGAAGACTCCATAAGATTCCCTCCGTGCTTGAAAATTTTCAAATAAAATTGTTGGAACTTTCTCAATTATTAGGAAGTATAAGTATATCCAGGGATATCTCAGAACTATCTTCAAGCGCACTTTTTTCGTTATATGCAGTCAATTTGCAACTTGTTGCAATTTTTAAACTACTACTTGGGAGAAGCAGTTTAAAAATTGCTGCTGAAATTATCGTTTTTATCGTTACAATTTTATTGTTAAATGTAGCTTTACCTTCTGTTGTTCGTGCTATATTTTTATATCTGCTAGCTACGTATTTTATTGCTGCTTTTATTACATTATTAATCATCTTAGAGTTGCACAAATACATTGCTCATTCGCGGATACTTTGTCGACCTGTTCGCCTTCAAAGTTTTGCTCGGCTTTAGCCCGGGAATCCATTTTTAGAAGCAACGTATGGCGCCGAGCAGCCAACGTAACTTACCGCCGCGGCGATAAAGTTACTTCTAAATGGTAAATTAGTCGCGTTGTTCTAGACCAGACCGGCAAAAGTTTATGAGACTAAACGATTAACATGAATATATGTTTAGAGTGAACTCAAATCATATTTATGTTGCTCGCTGCTATTGCCAGAATTTATGTTGTTTGGTGTCAAATAAAGAAATTAATCTAATAGCTTGTTTAATTTTTCAAAAATTTGACAGATTTTTCTTATTCAATGCAACTTTTCTACTTCAAGCGATGACCGAAGAGTTAACGAGTTGAGAAAGTCTCGAATATAAACATGAAAACTTCCGTGATCTGGTAAAATTGATTAATTCCTTAATTAAAAACAAACAGCCCCGTGAGCTAATTAGCTGCCACGTAGGAAAGTAACGAA